TATTATTATTATTATTATATGCCATCTAGGACTTTTCTATAGAACTCATTGAGATCTACAATTCTTTCGTACATTTTCATATACAGTTTAGTCTGCGTAAACCGAGAAGAGGTAAATTGTAGTGATTTTTTAACGCCGGGGTTCAGAAATACGCTGTTTATTAATGGTTCCTGAACATCTGTAATAATAAAGTATAGCCTATTTTACACACAGATTATTGGTCAGAATTTTTTTTTAAATCGAAACCGGATACACTAAATTATAAACTCGTAAGGATGGATGGATGGGTGTTTGTTAGATGGTACTTATTTCCTATAATAAAAATATACACGTAAACAACGTTTGACCGTCAGGCTAGAGGATGTAATATTTATTTGCATTATGTTTTATTGCTTCTTAATATAATCTGTTCCTCGTTTTGTAATTATGGTTTTTACATCGCCAGTAAATATAGTAATAGTTTTCCAGATCAAGTAATTAATAGAGACGTCCAAACGTTTGCACAGACCATTCAGTCTAGCCGCCTGGCCACAGTAGAGCATTATTTTAATTAATTGTCTATACAAAACATATAAATACTACCTTATTGTAAGGGAATAGAGTTGATATTAAAGTGTCAACACTGCAAATGGACCAGTCGGCGGTAGTGACCTCTGTCCTCTTGCTATCCTTGTTTGATTCAAACTGATACTCAGTTAAAGTGTATTAAAATGTTACTGCTCGGTTTACATGCGATCGTGTTTTTTTTATTTCATCATCTCTCTGTCCTTATCCCACATAGAGTCGGTCACCAGGTTTCTATCTTCCATACGTGTCTCCCATCATTTTAGTTGACACTTTTTGACTAGTTTAAATCTGTATGTGTTTTTTAATTATAAATAAGTAGCTGTTGCTCGCGATTTCGCCTACATGAAATTAAAAAATGATAAAAAATATAGACTAATATTACTCACAGATAAATTATCTTTCAAACGTTAAAAGATTTTTTAAAATTGGTTCAGTAGTTTTTGAATGATTTCCATACATAAAAAAATATAAATGTTTCCTTTTTATATGAAGGTATAGATAATATTTTTTTCGATTGTCAGCAGATAAATTTATTTCCCACGTCCAATTAAATCTTCCTAACATTATAAATTCGTATATTTGGATAGATGTTGGTTAACAGGTCGCTCTGAAAAGCAAAATAATTCATATGTATGTGTAAACTTATCTTTAAAGGTCTGAACTTGATGTTTTCTGTTCTACATATAAAACCCACTATTAGGCCACATTTGACCTCTTATCAAATAGTTTACAAGTTTGACTTGAACACAATCGACGTATTTTTATATAATACTTGAGTTTCGTTTTTTAAAAGATGTATTTGAACGTTATTTTATTAATCTGTGCAGTTACAATAGTCGATAGCAGAAGTATATTAGTTGGTCAAACTGTGAAGGAGAATAACCAATTGATCAAATTCGTCGAAGAAACAGTTTCAACGAACGCTATACCGTTTTTCAAACGAGTTACCGAAAAGGTGTATGAAGTACCTGAGGTTTATGGAAATGAGAAAATCAAAGGGATCGTTATCACCGATTTGGATAACGGTTTAGCGCAACCGTCAATCACTTTGGGTGGTCTTGGTTTCAAATTCGTGAATATTAAAATAAAAAGTGAAAGAGGTTCGGGGTTCAATTTTGTAATTGAAATATACTTGTGATTTAGTTGGATCTAATGTTTTTTTTGCAATCTTTGTAATATGAAATATTAACATTCTTGATTCATTTTAATCTGTAGTTATTTTAATAATATTGAAACATAGATTAAAAATGTAACATAATATATGATTACATTTGTTTGCATATTAATCTCGATGTATGAACCACATACAACCCAATAACATTAATAAATTACATTATTATTATATTACTCATGTCTCGTATTACAAGGAAAAAACCAAACACATTCAAATGTAAATGTCACCGGAAAATTGTTTGTCATTTTTTAATTTGCCTAGGCAAGACTGTAAATTCCAAATTGTACAAATTCATTTACAAATTGATGATACATTTCGACTATCTTTAGTCACTTTATAAAAGTTCCAAGTGTTTTTATGTTTTTAACGATTAAGTAGCCAACGAATTCGCCAAAATAGCGAATCCACATTTGTCTAAACACATCTGTATTTGCAGATGCGTTGCCTACCTTTAATTAACATTGAATTAGACTCACATAAAGAGCATATTTCCCCTGCCTTTCCGTTCCATTTCCTGCACCTTCTTCTTTCCATCTTCTATCCTTTCCTTATACGAAAAGGGTGAAAATGGTGAGGGGACTTAAATACATAATGTGCTGCTAACAAAGAATTGCAGTCAATATGATAATATCTAGGCAAATTACATACTGGCAGCATTTAAGATTTACCAGTAACATAAACGTGCATTAATCAACATAGATCGTAGTCATTTGACCTCCTGACTGGCCTCAGCGATTGTACATACAAATCAGTCCACGTATAAGCTTTCAACAAACCACACGTATTACAATGGATTTTAAATTATTACTAGCTTTTTTCGCTTTAATATCTTTAGTAAATTGTAAAAGTGTGATCGTAGGACAAATATACGATCATAATGGTATTGTTAGGAAAGTATACGACAAGATTGTGGAAACATCTGGAATACCATTAATAAAGAGAGAACAAGAAGTATATTTTGAATACCCACTAGGAGATCAGAAGATAAAAGGGATTGCTATAAAAGATTTGGAGAATGGACTCGCGGAACCTTCCATCAATCGAGGCGGATTGGGTTTTAATTTTGTCAATATTAAATTGAAGAGTGAACGCGGTTCAGGATATAAGTATCTGATTGAAATTTACGCTTGATTTGTGAAGTGACTTGTGTAATTAAAAGACTGTCTTAATGTTTGTTTTAATGTACAGTTACGTTAATGGATGTTAAATGAGATGTATCTTGTATTCTGCGTGTTCTTTTGAATCTATGTGTAATATTGTTTTATTAAAATACTCGAAATATAATAATTGAATAAAAAGTTTTGTAGTTTATTTTGTTACAGCATATTGACTTATTATTTTTTTTTTGCTTTAAACTTTTTTTGTATACATTAAATATTTTGTTAATCTCAACTTGTATATGAATGTTTACATAATAAACGATAACCTTTACTTTTAACTTTTAAAACAAAACAAAAAAAATAATTATATACATATCACAAAATTAAGAAAACAATTCTATACAATATATTATAGAGATAATAACCACTTATTTAGCTAGTTATTTAAAAGTAAACATCTTGTTATATAAAAACAAAACGTGACAATTCATCTCTCGGTACTTTACCTAATATCATGTATATTCGGAGACATATATTTCCTACCCATTGGTGAAATATTAATTGGCTCTTACAATGCAATTAGATCTAAAATTTATCCTACACACATTCGTGCAGAATTGTAGCCCTTATTGTGCTTGTGCTGTATTGAATTTGAAGTGGGTAGTGAATTTAATTCTTTAGCTAGATTGTTCTGACAATGATGTCACTTGAGTAACCTTTGTAGATCAATTTTCCTCTTTCCTTATAAGCAAGATATGAGTAACTCTTTAAATGCGTCTTGCGATCTTTGTTGTACTAAGGAAATGTTTTTTTTACAACAAACGAGCAAAAGCAAAACCTGCCAGTTAGTTGCCAATCAACACAATATAAAAAAAAACAAAGTATCGATGGTTTATTTTTTAATTAAAAAAAGATGAATTCCAGTATTCTTTTGTACTTAATTTGGATTAAAATAAACAAAATAAAAAAATGATGCTATTGGTTACCTAATATTTTCTAGGATAAACTTCTGGATAATAAACCGCACCCTTACTGTAATATTGTCCATTTGGATTGTTAGTAAAAACTTCAATTTCAAATTTATAACCTCTAAGAATTGACGGACTCTTCAAGCCAATAGTAACGCTCTTCTCACCAACTCCACCACTTTCAATATAAGCTTCTCCATCCTTGTCATCCCTCAAATCAGTAACAAAGACAGCAGATATCACTTCGTTTAAAGGCGCGTTTATAATGACGTCATCAGTCCTCTTCCATAACGCTGGATCGGCTTCCTTTATCTCACTGTATATTTTCTTCGATTGTGATGAAGTGAATCCCAGGCGAATGTCGTTGCAATTCACATAGGAACTGATGTATATTAAGACGAGAATTCCTTGACAAAGTTTCGCGTACATTTTGGGTGTATGAAATGTGGTGTACTGATCGTTCTAGAATTGATGCACTGACTTATATAATGGAGGAACAAATAAACAAGCGCTGTGATATCATAGTGACCATTTAAAGATTCATGTTAATACGTTAAAAATATGATCGACGTATAAAGTTGTGTACACATACAGCATGTTTAAAAAAAATTGATTTATATGGCCTGTAGCAAAATTAAAATAATTTACAGACGAATTAAGAACTTCCTCCTTTTTGAAGTCGGTTAAAAATATAAAAACAACTTTACCAGTGTAAAAGTTTGTTATTTATGACAAGTAATAAACTAGGATCTTTATTTATCAAACAAAAATGAGAAATATAATAGCATTCAAGCTTATATTAATTCTTTGTAAAGTTAGATTTTAAAATGTATCAGGAAAAAAATAAAAACCAACTGAAATTGTTCTGTTTTAAGTTCGATAAAATCTTTTCCGCAAACGTAATATTGTAGACTAAGCTTTAGTTGTCAATTATATCGCGCTAGCTAATTTTCTTTAGAAATCACATCACATACGAACGTTGAATCACATCTCATAAGACTTTGTGAAACTCCCGAAGCTACGTGATTTTATACAGATTATCTATAAAAATGTATGTTAATTTTCTTCATACAAATAATTTTAGTTTCTTACGTGGAAGAAAGTAATAAAGATAAAAGAGGAAAGTACAAAATAGATATCTTTTATCTAAACTTAAATATAAACAATTACCAGACGTTCTTACGGTGAAGGAAAACACCGTGATGCAACCTGCACATATCGGCGAAGAAATTCAAAGATATGTGTGAAGTCAACCAACCCGCAGTGGGACAGCGTGGTTGACTATGGCCTAGTCACCCCGTATTAGGGTAGGCGCCGAGCCCCTCGGTGGGGACGTATAGTAAGCTGGTGATGAAAATATAAACAAGGATTGTATTCTACAAGTCGAGTACACTTTTTAAAATTAATCAAATTGTTTTAGGCTACAGGATGTCCCGTTTAGAGATATCCACGAAAATGCTACCCCCTTGTCAGTTGAACATTATTATAATTCACTACATTTTTTATTTTATAACCAAACAAACACAAAGATTTTTTTCTATAGATATATTTTTTATGGTCAATAATTTAATTAAATCACAAAATTTACTACACCCTTTATTACTTCATTCACAGAAGTGACATATTCACATAGAGTTGTTAATTTAAAAAATACACAAACCAGAAATGATACCTTCTATTCCATTTAGATCCACATCGTAGTACATAATAGTCGCTAAGATGGCGGGAATTTTATTTGTCGTGTTTTTATTATTATCTGTGACAAATTCCCATGATTTATTCCTCGGCTATCCAGACGTGTCTTCTAAATTAATTTATAGTAAAATACATCAAGAGAATCCAGCGATATGGGTCAGATCGGAAACATTTACAGTGAATTGTTCAAGAAATGAAGTTATTAACGCTATTAAAATAGTCGATTTGAGGGATGACAAATGGGGGGAATGTTACATAAAAGGAGGTGGGATTGGAGAGAAATTTGTTAAATTAGAACTCGACAGTCCAAGTGTGTTCCGGGGATACAACTTTTGGGTTGAAGTGTACGCTATCGAGACGAATTATTTTTTGTACAATCATGGGAAAAAGTGACTATGTTATTATATTTGTTTAATTATTTGTACTGTTTTTGTTAACTTATTAAATTTGATTTAAAATTTTGTGCGTTTTATTACAGACATCTGACTGTAGTCCTAGTGAGAAGAAACTTCAATAGTTTCCTATCTCCTTTATTCTTTAACTAGTTTTCGCCCGCGACTCCGTCCTCGTGGAATAAAAAAAAAAACAAAAGTGAGTAGCCTATGTGTTCTTCCAGACTATCCTCTACATCTATGCAAAATTTCATCCAGATCCGTTCAGCAGTTTAGGCTACAAACTCTCACAAACATCCACCCATCCATCCATCCAAACTTTCGCATTTATAATATTAGTAAGAAGTAAGATTACTATCTTCTACATAACAGATAATACTGATCGTTTTTTCTTTTCGCCACCAGTCTAGGGCTTTTTATTGAATGTATGATTTATTAGTTTACAAAATCAACTAGTTATTCTACTAGTTGATAAACGCATAACCGTTTCGATTCTTTGACGTTAAATCTAGCAACGACCCCATGTAGTTATAGGTCCACAAACATCCATACATTCATAATTTCGCATTTATAATATTAGTAAGTTTTCTGGTTGTATCCAGTGTACGACGTACTGCGATTTCCGTGAAAATTCTTCATAATATTTACTTCAAAGGAAGTTTTTAGAATACACGTATAGAGGTATGTATTAATGAGCTTGTTTGTTTGTTCGTCACGACGTAACGCGTGCGTCTTGTGACACGTCAAGATCGTGATGGATATAGGATGGTTCTTTTGTACTTTTGTTTGTATACGCTATCTGGTGATACGTTTATGCAATAAATACCAAGGCAGTAAAATAAATAACGGCGTATTATATGCATAGACAAGACGGTACTTATAAGACCTTACTAAGGCGTGTAACATTCTGTGTGGTTAAGAATGAGAAATCCCATCTAAACATTTGCTGTGTAACTATGACATTTACTGTTTTATTAGAGTTAAAATAAAACTCAATACTTGCTTCACTTCCGCATAACACCATCCAAATAATATATAAAACAAAGGAACATTCATCAGCGCATCAGTGTGAAACTGTACCGAACGAAACGACAATGAGGCTGCTGTCCATTTTTACACTCTTCTGTGTCCTGGCCGCCGGGTACACTCAAAGCCATGATCTTGTACTCGGTCAGGCGACATACGGTGACGTCATAATCTATAAAGTCAACGAATCCAAGTACGGGTTCCCGTTCTTCGTGAGGACGAGTATACTGGAGTATCCTGAACCAGGACAAACAAACTTCGCGTATATTAAGGCTATATTTATAAAGGATAATGATAAAGATGGTACTGGTGGATGGCCAACTGTGTCCGCAGGTGGTATTGGTCAGAGATTTGTGAAGATCAAATTGAAGAGCCAAAGAGGTTATGGTTTAAATTTCACTGTTACTATTTACGGAAGATACTAGTCTAAAATGTGCCTAATGTTGTTGTTTTAATTTTAATAAATATCTTTATTCATTGTTAACGTGATTTTTACTAATAAATATGCGATTACAGTATTAACGTTTTAGTAAAAACTATAAGTAATTGTTATGATGAACTAAAAGTCATAATATCGAAGTGTTTTGTGCCAAATGTTTTATTAAATGTTGTTTATTTACTTAATTTTAAGAAAAAATGCTTTTACGATTGTTAAATATATTTTATTACTACAGATGTTACCTGTTTAATCTAAATTCTTACCCTAACTTATGCGGGGTTTCTGAATTATTTATTTATTTTATTATAACCTAGTGATTTATTAGTGATAGATTTAATAGACTATACTAGATATAATAGAACGGAGTAAAACTCAAGTTACGTAGTTCAGAACTCAATTTTATGAATTTATCGAACCATAAACATTATCGAATGGTTAAAAGTAATTCGGAAACCGTCCGGGCTTCGAGCGCTCAGTTGGGACTTACAATAAGCTGATGAAGTAAGTTTACAATACGTGAAAGAGCAACCAATTCTTTTTTCTTTTAGGTACTTTAAATTATTTTTTAGCATTTCCTAATTTTTTTTATGAAAGCTGTTCTACACGTGTACGAAAGATTTATTACATTTTCCATATTTCGTATAATATTCAACAAAATATCCTCTATTTTTGTGTAAGATCTCATGATATGTGCTTATTATTAAGAAGGTTTTCTATATTTATGAAATCTAGAGCAATCTACCAACAGACGCGTTACTGCGTCAATCACGAAAAATATGAACCATACAAACATACGTGTTGATGACAAAAAGATAAAAAGATATTTGATGACAGAAAGATAAAAAAGAATAAGTTCATACTTGCAATCTCTGTTGTCCGTATATGTAGGTTCTTTTGAATAATAAATGTGTTTTGACACTTTTAAGAAGAAATACGAAAAGATGAACAAAGATGAAGAACATCTTTTGTATTTTTTAAGCATTTTTAAAATAGCTAAAACAAAGAATTCACAATTTAAGTGTAGCATACGAAACATTTCTAGTGTTGTACAAACTTGCGAAACTGGAAGTATTTTTAAAATTGTCACTTCTAGTGTGAAAATCCATGAAGACCTAGCACTAAGGGGTCAAGAGATATGTCTTGACCTCTTAGTATGCTACAAGTATAGCCTATTATTATAGCTTAGGCTCTTATAGCTTCAAGTTTTAATAACACTCATTTAAAATGTTACAAATGTAAATAGAGATCTTACTTTTAATTAAATACATGTGAAAGGTTGGATGTAAGTTTGTTAGTAACTCCAGAACGGGTCCGAACTATTAAACTGAAAACTGATTGCTGTCTAGAATAGCGCTTATGCTAACATTGTTTTATTTCTAAACATGCTCTATTTAATTGTATATCTTACTAGCTGTTGCTAGCTACTTCGCCCGCGAGAAATATATGTCCGTAGATTTTTAATGGTGAAAGAATTTTTAGAATCGGTTCAATAGTTTTTGAGTTATTTCAATACATACAAATCTTTCCTTTTTATAATATTAGTATAGATTTGTGACTTAAATAAATTCGTATAAAGTTTAAATGGATGGATGAAATGCTGAAGATATCTCGATAATAATTGACATAGATGTAGGATACTCTGGAAGAACACATAGGGTACTTACATCTTTTTTTTAATTTCACGCGAAGGAATCGCAGGCGAAAGATGTTTTTATATATATATTCTAATACAAATTTTGTTTAAGGCTTGTTTTTGATTATTAATCAATTTCATCTAATTCTTCTCCTAGGACATCGTAAAATCAATATTTAAGTTACATCACTTATCAGTTCATAAGTACACATATTTCATAAAAAAACACTTATCTCTGGTTATTCCCCACTCATTGCCTTTCTGAATAATCTAGAATCATAATTATTGTCTCATTTATTTAATAATGCTTAACGTAAGTAAATGTTTCTTTAGTTTAACACGAATGCAGAAAATTGAGACAAACTGCAAATAAATAGATATATAACGTTTACATGAATTTGTAAAGGATTTAATGAAATGATTTATTTAAATTTATGATAATTGATTATGAAAGAGGAAAATGTTAATCTAATATTTGCTTCTCTCTATTTCGATAAAATAGAAAGTCACTATGATGAAATCTCGTTAGATTGTCTCGTTATTCTGTTATAAAAAAGTTTCGATTATTATTCCTTGTGACTGTTCCTTTTTTTCTTAGTCTTTGACAGACACATTTAGAGTTGTTTATTATTACTTAATGATTCTTTAGTATAGATTGAGAAAAATATGATTTGAGAGTGGCAGACTACAATTTTTGACCTGCATTTGTTAGTGCTCTTAATAATTAGAACTTTTATCTACGTAATATATTTGACATTTCTTGATAATAGAGCAGAATTTTGTTTTTCTCTGTATTACCATTTACAGTTTAAATAAAACGGTGAAAGAATTTTTATTTCAACAACAAACAAAAATGAAAACATTAGTAATCGTTATTTTTTGACCGACTTCCCAAAAGAAGGAGTTACTCAATTCGCCTGTTTTTTTATTTTTAATGAATTACGATTTTCTTTTGTTCCAGCAACATGGGACTACTGGAGTTCGAAGAGTGGACAAACCAGGATCTGTTTTCTGGTCGATCTCGCATGTGTTCCAAGTTGCACGGCTTGACCCCTGGTCAACGACGCGTCTGTCGGCGGTACCAGGACCACATGCCCGCAGTGGGGGCTGGCGCTAAGCAAGGCATTACTGAATGTCAATACCAGTTCAGAAGTCGCAGATGGAACTGCACGGTGACAGGCGATGAAACCGTATTCGGACCTTTGACATTGATTGGTGAGTTTGTGTAAAGTGTACATGTACAAAAGTATAGTCGTCACTTTTATTCTCTTCGGAATAAACAGAGAAAAAAGAACAAGTAAAAGTTACTTACTGCTTAGTAATAGATAAGTATTCCTAGAGTAGATTTGTTAAACTAAATTTTCATTAAAGGTACTTTAGTTCGTTTACGACTCTGAGTGTCCCAGGTAGGAATGTCGTTTTTTCTTTTTTTTTCACAAAACAAGGTGCGATTGGAACGGCAAAGTACCAGGACATCATAACAGCATAGAGTACTTTAACAGACAATGTCGACTCAAATAGTCATGGACGAAAATCATATTCCCAAGATAATCCCATTGGAAGAATGAAATAACAAAATGCTCAATAAATTGAGTAAAGAAATCTCTGGGCTGGAACAATTGCGTATAAAACTTAATAAGTGTGTCGTAAACATGGACAAGATATTCCTTCCCTTTTACGACACAAACTACTAAGTTATTTTTATTGTTTATTTTTTATTGCTTTGTTCTTGGATTTATTTCTGCCGTAATTATTTACATTTATCTATCTTGGAAAATTGCCTTTAGGTCGAATTGTTGTACCAGCAAAATACGTGCGAAACACTTACGTCGACAGTTTCAATTTCGATAAGTGGGGAGCAAATTTAATTCTTTGTCTGTACAAAGTGTTACAACCAGTGTAAGTTTACAGTAGTGTAATTTTTCATAAAGTCGCCACAGGGAATGGTCTTAAATCTTTGCTACCAACGTACTCCGACGGGACACGTCTGACAGATTTATAGCTCTTTACCTCCTACCACAAATCTTTTACACATTCTACGACAAAGATATATTTCCTGGTGCAAGAAAATCTATTTATAAAGGAAGTTTATAGTTTAATCTAGACTCCCTTTCTCACATTGCTACGTTTATTCTCAAAGAGGATATAAGTGATGTCAATAGGCATGTATATATCTTACTTCTTGCTAATATTATAAATGCGAAAGTTTAGATAGATAGTTGGATGGATGGATGGATGTTTGTTAGCGTTTGTAGCCTAAACGGCTGAACAGATCTCCATGAAATTTGGCACAGGTTTAGAGTATAGTCTAGAAGAACACATAGGCTACTTTTTATCCCGGGAATAGTTACGGTTCCCGTGGGATTCGTTAATTTAGTTTTTTAATGTTTACGCGATCATTCTGCAACGGTTCAACATATCTTATTGAAATTTGGCACATATATAAAACAAAGTCTGGAGTACACATGAGATAAGCTTCATCCTCGAGAAATGTTCGGTTTCCGAAGGATACGTCGCTTTTTGTAATCTATAGAGTTCGCATGTTTTGTAATACCACGCGGACGAAGTCGCGGGCAACAGCTCGTGTATAATACAAGTGGAGTTAAACAAACTTCAAATATGTCAATAAACAATCTTACTATCTTACTTTCTTATTAATATTATAAATGCGAAAGTTTGGATGGATGGATAGATGTTTGTTAGAGTATGTTGCCTAATCGGCTGAACAGATCTCGATGAAATTTGTCTCATATGTAGAACACTGCTCACTTTTTTTTTGATTCCACGCGGATGGCGTCCGAGCAAAAGCTAGTTTATTATTTAAGATTTTTTGATGACGGAAATGCATTATAGTTTAGTCATATGCACGTTGAGGTTTATCTTGATTTATGGAGATTTTGAGATATTTTCTGCCGTTTATAGATAGGAATGTTTGCTTATTTTGTTATTCACCAAAGTTAAATCAACTTTCGCGTTTGAAGGTGAAAAGTATTCATGAACTTAACCTTGAAAGAAAATATGCGTCATGTAATAAAAAAAAACGCCGACATTTATTGGTGAAAAACGAATTCTATTAGTAAATTTTACGTTATGAAAGAAAGATGATATTATATTTTTAATGTAGCAATTAAAAAAATGAAATTAAATGTAATTTTTGTTTCTCTCATTACTTTAAAAAAAATCTTTATTTTAATCTTTTGTGGCCGGCTTTGATAACTTTACGTTTTAAATAAACGATACCAGGATATCATAAAATATAGGACATGTTATTGTGTTACAAATTACGTTCCATGTCACTAATCGTTTACATTTTATGTTATCCTTGTCTTAGTTGTAACAAATACTAGGTTTATTACAAATTGTAATATGTAATATGTACCCCCTAATATGTAAATTACATATGTAATACTCAGGGGAATTATATCCACTAGCTTTAGCTCGCGACTCCGTCCGTGTGGAATAAAAAACAATGTATTCTTCCAGACTATCCTCGACATCTGTACCAAATTTAATCGTAATCCGTTCAGCCGTTTAGGCTACAAACCCTAACAACCATCCATCCATCTATCTAAACTTTCGCATTTATAATATTAGTATGAAGTATGAACATATGGCAAAAAATTAACATTACGATAAGGATTTTGTGACACTTGTTTGGAAAAAGTGGGCGTCATTATTTAGTTCGATATGCCCTTGTCAAAAAGGTGGGACGGTTGAAACTTTTAACTCTCATGTGGGGACAGAGCGGGGTTACGGTTGGGAATAATCCGTCTGTCTACAGCTTGTATTTACTAAATCTTTTTTGGACAGCATCAAGAGAAACAGCATTCACAAATGCTATAACCTCTGCCGGTGTCTCACTGGCGATATCCCGCGCGTGCCGCGACGGTCGACTGGCGAGCTGTGGTTGCAGTAGAGCGGCCAGGCCTAAGAATCTGCATGATGATTGGGTGTGGGGAGGCTGCGGGGACAATCTACAGTATGGTTACAAGTAAGTTTTACGTAAGAAAGAAACGTATTTGCTAATTATATAAAGTCTTAGCCAATCTAAGACGATGGATCACATTATGTTTGATTAGACATTCGATCGTTGGTAAAATTAAAACTTCTCGAAATGAATGGACAAATCTACAAGTAGGGGTCATATCGAAAATTATATAAATTCAACTAGAAAGAACAGGATAGCATTATTATTATACGCTGCTTTTTCCTGTTTAAACGTATCCCTTTCTATTGCGCTGGTTTACACTAGCTATCTCTCTTCTACTTTCAGCCGTTTTTTCAGGTTTAGTAACTCTTATCGTTTATTGTATCCTGGTCCTTTAGAGAAATTTGCGTCGGGTGGAAAATGTCTTCTTGGGAATAAATATTTTTTTCTCCATCAATCCTTAACCACTTATGGTAGCCTGGTAGATGTTTTCGTGTTGTGCTGGGTGGAAAATGGCGGTCGTAAGTATTCCCTTGTCTCCACAACATTTTATATTACCCTGGTATCTCCGAGTAAGACATTTAGGTAACACATTCCATTCCGAGATGAAGTCTAGTGACAAATTATTTCGAGTAAAAAATAGGGACCTTCTAAAAACCTGAAAACAAAACTTGAATCTTTAAATATCAGGAAGGCACAGGTGGAGAGTCAAAAATTAACACTAATTCGGTGAAAAATTTATCTTCCACAAAAGTTTTTCAATTTGTTTCGGCCTCCTCCTTCCAAATTCTCATAAATTTCCACAAAAACATGACATTTTCTGCATATTTTCTAGTAGGGTATCAGGATAACATAATGAAAAAGATAGCGCTCTAACCTACAAGGATCCTTGTTAATTTGTATTTAGCCTTATTGTCCGTGAAATAAGTTGCAAAATTGTGTGAATCGTTTTAGTTAGCAACGGATCGGCGGGGTTAACGCTGAAAATTCCCGTTGGAGGTTGTTTTACTAGGGGATCAAAAGGTGACTGGTATCGTTTAATATTTGTTAACTAGATAATTTTACAATCGACAAAAACAATCTCTGTCGTTTATTATTAGAATAAAATATTATTTTTTATAATATTGATAATATTATAGACGTCAATATTTCACCATGTAATAACCAATCTTTCGGTGTAAGTAGTTACTCTATTATACCTAAGATCGCATTTCGTTAACCAACGCCTTCTAATGTTTCAACACCAAAAATACATTCCGGGTGCGTTATATCGTCACGTTATGAAAGGGTTGACTCTAAGATAAAATATATTTGCACCACTGTCCAAGATAGTTTTGGTAAGACCCTCAAAGTATTATTTTCAATATTAAAACTCCAACACAATTTATTTGTACTAAAGCGTTCATGAGTACTCTACTTGCTTTCGAGTTTTTTGTTTCTGAAGTGTCAGGTGCCATTCACCTGCGCTTTTCTCACCTGATGAATCAGGACATCAAAGATGGAATGGAGTACGTTTTACCTGTCACGCACACAACTGCAATATTTCCTGCAAAACGATCGAACAATGTCATGATATGAACTGAAAAGATATTTCTATCTCTTTCTGACTCACGTTTTACGCATGTTGTGTAATGAATCAACGTTTACCTGAAAATACGTTTCCACGTGGAAAAGTTACTACCTCGTGATTTATTGTTTCCTAGTACTCAGGTAGAATGTAAGACAGGTGAGGCTTACCTGTGCCGGATCTTTCGTAAAAATAATTATTGGTATTAATTTAACGTAAGGTGATTTTTTTATTTTAATTACGTGCTAAAAAGGTAAAAGTTATTAAATTGTCGTTTATTTAAAAGTTAATGAAACAATTAAATTACCTTTGCTTCATTAAAAAAATAAAATAAAAAGGAGACCTTTATTCTTGTTGTTCTTGACAATTTACCTCAGCTGTCAAGGTAACGTCACGCCTATCAAACATGGCGATAGACAGATCTTCTACCAGGCATACATAAACCTCTACGAATACGGTTTTCAGAATATAATATGGATCACAAAGTGAGTTATTTCTCTTGAACATTCGATAGAATATTTATTAAAAAGCTGCAATATCTTAAGATAAATATTAAATTTGTAATTTTTGGATATGCAAAAGTAAGTTAAAACTAAAACACATAATCATTTTAAAAAGAAATACAAAAATATAACTTGTTACATTCATTTGCATGATTGACAATATTAAATTCAAATACCGAGTAATTTTCGTTTTATTACCGATTTTAGTACTTTGTTTTTTCACTAAATATTGTACCGAGTTGCATCCGCTACGTACAGTTACCGTAGCAACGTAGACGACCCCCTACGGGTTGCTACGTGCCTGGTATTTTCGAACGTTGTACGTTCACGTCCTAAAAGGGTTTAATTTGCTTGAATCTTTTTAAGTAAATTAAATTTTATCTTAGCTATATTATAGCTTTTTCTTGGACGAAAGCAACAGTTATTCAACTAGCTTATTAAAAACAATTCATACCTTAACATCCACTCTGAACATTTGACCAGATTTTATTCGCAATTTTCAACCCCTTTGTGTGGCCATCGCCGCCTCTCACAAGAAAACCAGCAGATATTTTTTTATACGTTATCATACGTCATAACCTGCTCGAGTATTTCTGTGTTGCTGATTTTTACATTGTTGGAAACCTTTTTTAAGATCTAAGCATCAAAAAACAGACGCTTGTGTTTAGCCGCATTTATCTTCTCGGCGAAAATACTTTATATCAAAACTAGGACTTTGCTTCTTTTATTTATGAGCAGACTGTGTTCTTTTTCGATAGCAAAGTAGTATACGACTAAAGTATTGTATGTGACCTTTTTCATAATGACTGGATAACCTTAAAACAGTATTAAAAAATCAATACGAATTTAAACTTTATTACCTAAGTCGTAACGTTGAAAATTGTGGAAACAAATTGTCAGTAAAGGATCGGCAGTTAGCGCTGAAAATTCCCGCTCGAGGTTTTATTACCAGGAGGGCAGGAATTCTAAGGAATAGGATTGGTTGTGAAAATTCCCTTTTTAGAGGAAAAGAGAAAATATGAAGAAATGACGGGGATGGCATGCTCCGTTCAAGCTTTAAACGAATAAAAAAATGGAAGTACAACAACCAAATTATTGTCTCTAAAAATGTATTTATTTTATAACAAAAAAGGCAGTGTTTTTTTAAATAAAAAAGAACCTTTTCCAATATTTTGTCCATTTGAATTTTCTTCATTAGGAAAGCATAGATGTAAGGAGGTTGAGAAATGTATGGAATGCTTACGTAAAAGGCGGGAATGGAACCCTTCAAAGGAAAAACGTGAGCTTTCTCCGGATAAGGAATTTTCCCGCATTAGGGTATTTTTCTTACTAGGGCAGAAGAAACCGCAAGGGGTTTGAAAAGCATTCCTTAAATATTTGAGATTCTTTCGATTTGAAAGCCTGTAAATATTTTGTTTTAAATAGTTTTTGTTCTGTAAAGTAAGAATAAATAAAATTGTTGTTGGAACCTTGATTTCCCTTTGTTTTGAGAAGCTTTATAATTTTTTTTTTGTTATGAAAATTAAAATAATTTTACTTAATTTCAGTAATATTTAATTTCTTGGAAAATAATTCAAGAATTTTTATATACATTTTCTGAGAAACTTTTGTTACCCACAACGTAAAAAGCTCGTCGTTACAGTCTTCAAAGCTCGGATAACCCTCCCGCATTAATGCTGATTATCCGCGAAAAACTACCAGGCGATCATACAATGATAGGGGTTGCTAATCCGGTCGCGATGATATTTTCTTTTAACTATTTTCCCTAACCTTATTAGTTAACTTTTGTTTATTTTAATAAACGTTGCGTTAAATTTAAATTAACTGTCGGTTTTTTAATAAGAATAATATGTAACTAAATATATTAACTATTTTATTTTATAGTTTCATTTGTCTTTGACACATAAATTCATAGATTAAAATTAGAAAACATAGTCATTTACATCCACATATATTTTCTTTCCATTCGATATTATTTTTCTAGTTTCAGTTTTATTACGTATGGAAAACGGTTGTTTTTTATTGGCAACCTAGTTATACTATGAATCAATAATTTCTTCGTAGCAAAAGCGTAGACAGTCTCTACGAAGTATAACTATCTTTTTCCAATAGATCTTTCTTTTTTCATGACGTAACTATGTACCAGGAGCAAATAATAAAAAGCCTGTAGGAGGTTTCATATGACTTAGATTTTTTAGACTATAAAAAAGGTACTTTTTAGCTTTCAACAGGTTGTTTTGTTGCTCAGATAATAACTTGTAAAAAAATATAAACAGAGTCAAAAATAATTATATCAAAAGAAATTGCGCTAAAGTCGAATACATTTGAAATAAATTGAAGCTTTAAACTTTTTTAAAAATCTCCAGGTTTACCGAAGGTTTTGTGGACATTCGTGAGAGAGAGAGAAAGGTGAAGAGAGGCAGCCGGGAGCAAGGGAGACAGTTGATGAATAGACATAACAACGAAGCTGGAAGACGGGTGAGATTTTTAAAATTCGACACGTCCATTCAAAATTTTTACTCCTAGTAAAATAAATTAATTAACTCTTAATTAATAATTAATTTAGTAATTTATGTACCAGGCAGTCATAAAGAAGTCAAGAGTAACGTGTAAATGCCACGGCGTGTCTGGATCTTGCAGCCTCATTACATGCTGGCAACAACTGCCGTCGTTCCGAGAGATCGGTAAGCTTCTTGTGGGTTTCAACTGCCTAAACTTATACAAAATCATATTGTCGTCCTCTTCTTTCTCTTTAAAGGAAACAAAAATAACGTGTTACGGATCAAGCTAAATTAGCTTTCTTGCCATTTCATAACAGAAAATTAAACTGATTGTCTTTTAAATCACGTCTATTGTATTCAAAGATCTCTTGGGTGAAAGTTAATGAGCCAATCCCTCCTGTGCCATGGTGCCCTGGTACATTATAATTAATTTCTCTATTAATATGAAGCCGTTGTACGCGGTGTAGTTAATGATAGCCGTTATCATTAATGATTCCTGTCATTTCAAGACTATCTTTTGTAATGCATGTAATTTGTGGATACAAAGGACGACCCAACTCATAACTAACACTAATTATAATAAATTTGTCAAAATACTTTTATGTATGCAATAGATTTATTAGTTGAGAAAACGCAACTATTTCTTTTACGAAATACTTTAAAATAGTATATACAGAATTTAAAAAAAAAATAGTCCACAATAAACACAATAACGGGCATACAAACCTTGTATCAATATGTGGTATAAAATTATTCAAAAATAGAATTGCTTATATTTTTAAAATCAACTATAAAAATGTTGTTTAATTTATTTTTTAGAAATAACATAAAGAATTTACTAAATTAGATGTCTAAACAAAACACTTGAGCAATCTAAACTCATTAATTAATGTAATTATAGGGTCTTTACCACTAAAATGCATTCTTTAAATTATGGAACCATTAACTAAACGCTCTTAGAATAGGGTGACCAACTTACTTATGTTAAAAAATTATAATTTAAGTTAAAATAAAATTTTATAGTGCACCAAAATCAAGTGTTTTTACTAATATTGTAGCATGTTTACTTTACGGTTACACAAATATCACTGTCCTTGTCGTTCTTAAAATAAAAAAAAACGGTTTTTTTTTCATACAATTCCATTTTATTATGTGTTTCTGCTTAATTTAAAACTGATCATAATAATTTATTATCAATTTGTAATATTTGGAAAATGGGAATTCCTCGACTTTTGTATTCTATGGTAATACTACACAAGAAGTTTTTGCCCATAGAAATTCCTTTAGTGGGCGTATGATATATTGGCCCACCCAAAATATATTGTATCTTAGCGTGAACTTTATATTTAACTCATAAATAATACTGTTTTTATTACTAGAATTAAGTTAATTAATAGATTCTTTAGGCCGAAAAGAATAATGATTTTGATAAATTTTTACAAAATTGCATTTTTACACATTTTAACACACTTTTATTTTCTAAATAAATTGACGTTAACACATAACATGAAAATAAAACTCGCGAAAGAAATCTCATCTTTACATATATTTTTAATTAAACTGCCTAATAAGGCTACTTAATTAAGTAGAATAAGTCTGAAGCTAAAGCGAAAGGTCTTTAAAAAAAAACATCTTTTTTAGTAGCTTGTAGCGGTTTCTATTCAGCCTTTACGGTAAATCGTTCACAGACTATAAATTTATTGTTTCCAAAGAATCTCTTACAACATACTCGCGTTAATTAAGTTGTGGTATAAATAAACATATTTATGGACACTTAAATGCTTTTAACTGAACATTCTATAATGAACTAATGTCTAGTTTACGATCCCCCGACAAAAGACGATTGGTCGAAACGGTTTTTGTGACGTCACGCTATTTTGATTTTGTTTTTATTGTCTATGGTTTTTTAACTGACAATGGTTAATTTAAATAATTGGGTGGTCTTATTGTAGTTTATCTTTTGTTATTTTGTTCCTGAGAATTGAAATTAACTAAATGCAATGGTAAAATCGAAGTGAATTTCTTTTTGAATTATGAACAAATACTTTTTTTAGGTGATTACCTCAGAGAAAAGTACGAGGGTGCTACAGAAGTGAAGGTGTCGAGACGCGGTAAACTACGACTCGGCAATCCTCACTACAGCTTACCAACTGCAAATGACTTGGTCTACTTAGAGGAGTCACCAAACTATTGCATCAAAAATGAAACACTTGTAAGTACATTTGAAAGAACTGTGGCGTTGCATCTGGCATATAACGACTCGACTTGGTATGTCACGGGTGGAGAAAAAAGATAATGTCATAAGGTTACATGACTAGCACGTAAGACGAATGTTGTAAATAAATAATTATAAACTGATGTGTCTTTAGAACCATATGATTACGTGAGTAAAGACAACAGTTAATTCGGATTATTATTATTCAATTTGTATTACAAATTAAAAGTGCAAAGTTCTTAATTGTAAATGGACATCTTTGATATGCAAACTCCTTGTCTATTGATATGAAAGAGGTCATCGTCATCAGCCTTTATCTGCCCTCTGTTGGACATAGGACTTCCCCAATACCTTTCACAGATAACAGTCTTTTGCCTTCCGCGTCGCATTATCATCCTTGAAAGAATTCTTCGAATTGAAACAAAAAGAAAGTCGAATATTTCTAATTTAATTAAGGATATTTCTGCACTTAGCACCTATTCATTGTACTTAAGCAACACTAATTTACAGGGTTCCCCCGGCACAACGGGTCGTGCGTGTAACAGAACGTCAGCCGGCATGGACGGCTGTTCCCTGCTGTGCTGCGGCCGCGGCTACAATACTAAGAAAATCGTGATGCGGGAGCGCTGCGAGTGCAAGTTCCACTGGTGCTGCCGAGTCGACTGTAACACGTGCGTGCGCACAGTAGAGTTGTACACCTGCAAATAATTTATAATCTGTATCAGTATTTTCATTATTGTCTATGAAAGAAAACTAACTATAAATGTTTGTCAAATAATTTGAATGCACTAAATGTACGCATTTTTATTCTGTAAGCGTGGTATACAAGTTCAAATGTTCTTTCAGATTTTCTAATTGCTAATGAATTTGAAACATTACATTCCATATATTTCCTATTACAACTGTACTTTTAAATCTCTATTTTGATTACGTCAAAGACTGGTTGTGTGTTAGATTATGTTCCCACCTATTTAAGTTTATTACTTAATGTAAATATACTAGATTTTAGAATTTAGTGTTACTAGAGAGGCTAATTTATTTTAAAACAAAACTAATTTATTGCTTCAATTGTTAGTAGAAAACGTGAACAAATTGTAAATTATGATAATTATTTACATAATACTCTTCAATAAAATAAAAATATCCTATGTATTTCAAATTAAGCCAAAGTCTGCTGTTTTATTTTACCTGGTTGTATCTTAATTAGTAAAGATTTTCTATTAAATCATATAAAATAATCTAAAAAACTTACTTTCTTGATTTATCATCAGCATTCTCCAACAACTGAACAAGTTCTCTTTTTTTATATTATTGAGTTCTAAAAAAGATTTAGTGAGGAATGGAATCGCAGTCGTTTCAAATCGACGAAGAAATTCTTCATAATCTGTATTCTAACCATAAACAATATTTTTAGTCTACAAGCATGACATTGACAGAAAATAATCTGTGCAGTGCATATGTCATTTGCATGTCAAAAATGTCGAAATGTGATTGATTTTGAAAGTTTTAAAAACGCAACCATTTTGGATTAATTGCTTGTTATTGAAAATATTGGCGTTTTATATTTTCATATAATTTCTTCAACAATAAAAATTACAACAGTACTGTGTGATTAAAATATGGGAAAGCCTTCATCGACTCGTTTGTCTGTTAGTTAATGTTTTGAAAACACAGTATATTGGTGTGATCAGGAAGTATGTTTAAAATTTGGTTTACTGTTAGGAGAAATTGCTACCTAAGGGCTTGAAGGCCTACCTAAAAACACTATTATTTTGACCATTATTAACAGAATGCATATTTGTATCTTATTAAACGATTTTTTTTTCTCATCTATTCCAAGGTGTAGTCTTATTTCATTTTACGTTTTAAATGTGTTTGCTTCAATGGATGATATGTTTAAGATTGACAATTATTGAAATTATTTTTCTCATGCTTAGATGGAATGAAAACAATGTAGGGTAACTCAATAAATTGCAAAATCAGTATTTTGTAACCTACTTGTTGATCACATCTGAGCCCTACAACATGGTGTAAATACTATGTAGTATTTGTAGATCATCTTAGCTTATGATTATTTGTAATGAAATAAATATTTTATTTTTGTCATCAACCATACAAGAATTAACATTGATTTTAAGGTCTTAAAGGATATAATATATTAAAAAAAGTAAAACACAAGACAATTAATGAAATGCTTTTGATTTATTAATTGATCATAAATATATTATAACTTTTATTTGATTTCTCTACTACTACTACTTTATCTATATCTTTATTTATATATTTGAATCAAATATATTCTTTAAATAAAGCATTTTTCACAGAAATTTTTAATATTAGTTAATACTCAGCTATTTTCCAGCAAGATTCAGAGCAACCAATAGTTTCAAATTCAATATATAAAATGAACAATTCAATAAGAAGAAAAAAAAGTGGTATTAAAAAGAGAAAAAGCAACAGAAAAACATTAAACAATGTTTTTAAAGTGTTCCAACAGTTAAAAGCAGATAATGCCTCAATAAATAGTTCATACAGTTCCATCGCATCTGTAGAAAATACTGTAATAGACTTAGACACAATAAAAACTCCTAAAAAAAGCAAAAATGATACAAGAAACAGTTTAATAGTCATATGTGATGATGATGAGGCAAACGCAACAAATGTAACAAACCTTAGCCCTCCGATACATTCATCAACACCTATTCATAACTCTAAAGTGAAATTAAAAAAGAACAGTGGTATTGAAATACAAAACGTAAATACAGATGTCAATTTAACCAAAGATATAAATCAAAATTCCTATTTAACGATAGATTTAACTGGAGAAAGTACACAACAGAATTGTACGAATAACACAGTAATAGACTTAGTCAATCCATCAGATAAACGAAATTTAACATCAATTAGTGATGTCAGTCTATCAATGAGCGATGATTCCGATGTAACAGTACTTAATATGCAGAAAAACAAACAGAGTAAACAAATGCAGAAATATGTAAATGGTATATCAAAGATGAATTGTCAAGAGAGAGGGAAATTATTGGAGATGATAATGCAGACTGTTTTCAATGGATGTAATGTACAGCAAAGTCAACGGAGTCTTAATATACAGGTATTTATTTCTACTACAGTAGAACCTCGACAACTCAAACCTTGGTAACATAAAAACTTCAAAAAAATAATGTTCTCTTCCCAGCTGAGCCCAAAACCTCTATGACATGGACCCTTGATAACTTAAAACCTCTATAACTTAAAATATTTTGTGTTTCCCTTGGACTTAAACTTATTAAAGACATACGATAAAGACAGCCATGTAGAAGATATTTGTGGTTCATCTGATAAGTGTGTGTGCCAGATGCCCAATATTAATCTTCATAAGTAAAGAATGGAAAGGCATAGTAAATTTGACACTAGAGACGCACTGGAAGGGGAAACTCCCTCGTTATTTGAATCTACTCTGTCCTTTAAAATGTATCTGCAATTTTTGTTTATGGGCAGATATCGCTTCGCATTTTCGGCGAATACTAGAGCCCCTTCGTTTGCCATCTAATAATAATAATAAAGCAAGTCTTTTAAATCTTCATGAAAATGGTATATTTCACCAACATGACAGAAAAAATGTAAAAACTCTCATTGTTTTTTTTTTCTCTACCATTTAGACAATGAATATTTACCCCTTTTTTTACATTTTTTTTATATCTTTTCAGGCACAGAGTACCAGGGCAACAGAAACTGTAGAAGATGTGTATATAAAAGAAGTGATTCTCGGTCAATCGAAATCAAGGAACAGTATTGGTAGCAACATATACAATCCCGAGGTAGATTTAAAAAACAGAACGGGATTACGGAGAATCATTATCGATGGAAGTAATGTGGCTATGCAGTAAGTATAGTACAATTTAAATTTTCTAAATACATTCTTATGCATGTCTTTCACACTAATCAATTATTTGGTCTTCCTCTCCCTTTGTAGCCACTAATCTAAGTCCTTCTTTGGATATTGTAAATTGTAATAGAACATTTACTTTTTATTTTCTTTAATTTGAATTTATACAAATATGTGCAGGAACTGGCAAAATAATTAGGATCTCTACCCTGAAGTTTTGTTAATATTTTAGTTAGCAATTTGTGTTGAAAAATTGTATTTGTTCTAATATAATTGATGACCAAGCAAATAGTACAAATAAAAGATAGCACTTTGACAAGTAAAAAAAAATTTATGGAAGAATGTTGTTTGCAGATGTTTTTAAATTAAAAAAACTGTCTAAAAAGTCAGGAAACTATACACACATAATTGGTATAAAATAGGCCAAAATCATGAATGTCAAATTAAAATTAAATAAAAAAGCGGTTTTTGTATGTTTTATTGTAAACTTGTAGGCACACAATGGGAAGAAAGTTTTCCGTGAAAGGTCTACAAATTTGCATAGAATATTTCTCTAAACGCGGACACGATGTGACAGCTTTTGTACCACGTTTCAGGTAAATCAGTTGAATTGATATTTTACATACATTATACTGTTTTCTTTCCAAAAAAGTTTAATTATTGTATTTGATGTTAACTTCAACCTTGGTGTTAACCTCTGTGTTAACGGCACCAGATGTAAGTTCGGCAAGAGCACGGAGCCGAGGCTGTTGGACAGCCTGGAGCGGCGCGGGCTGGTGGTCTACACACCCTCCAGAGAGATACAAGGCAAGATGATAGCCTCATATGATGACAGGTATTTATGTGGCTTTTGTTTAAAATATAGCTTTTGTCAACGGCTCCATCTGCAGAATAAACAAATACAAAATTAATGTATGTGCTCTTCCAGACCATGGTCTACATCTGTGGCAAATTACATCCAATGCGCTGTTCTGGTTATATGTAATTCTTAGGTGGATGGATGTTTTTTAGAAGTTGTCTTTAGAACTGCTCTTGGGTCTTGATTAAATTTGATTCTTACTGTAAAAATAAAATCGGTACTGCGCTGGAAAAAGGCACAACACTAGATTATTGGCATATACGTCCCATCCCTATGACATCTGTCAATGTCATTCAGAAGTATTGGAATAGCGCGCCATACTGACAGGAGATACGCAGTCTTATAACGTTGTTACAATAATATTAATTGCTTAAAATAGTTTTTTTTTTTAATTCTGAAAAAATAATATTTTAACATATATGTGTTGTCAACAGATACATAGTGCAGTGCGCGGCCGCGTTCGACGGTGTCATAGTGTCTTGTGATAACTACAGAGACTTGCTTTCAGAGAACCCTCGCTGGAGATTTGTTATAGAAAACCGTTTATTACCATTCACTTGGGTCGGGGACATGATTATGTTCCCCAAAGACCCTTTAGGTAGGAATGGACCCACTTTAGAACAGTTTTTAAAACATTAAGGGCCTGTCCCACCAAATTGTAAATTGATAACAATTGAATGTGTAAAATATGTGATTGAAGTATTGGATTTTGTTCCCTTATCTGACAGTGACATTTTTAAGCTATCTGAGGCTCTATCAGCCAGTAGTGGGACAGGCCCTTGTTCAATGCCCAACTCGTTTGGTAAAAGTGGCAGTCAGTGTAACTTTTTTAATTTAAGGTATACTTTACCTTGTTATCTATGTGATATAGGAATATAAAGATTTTAGAAGATTCTTGTGGTATAGATTTTTTTTGATATTTTTTTTGAGACAGGTTCTGATTGGTTGGAATAATGTGAAAGTATAATTTATGTTCTAATATGTTTTTTTTTCTAGTGATGTTTAAATTTGTGAAGTATAAAAGACAAATTGAGATTTTTTTAAACTCATCTGATAGCATAACAAAAAAAATTGGGAACCATATTATTTTAGAAGTCTTTGAGATACTTTTGTTTTTGCCGTTACTATGAATATTTTTTTTACTTTAAACAACAGTTGAAATAAGTTTAAACCAAGACGTAGATATTTTTTTTTATTAATACTTTTAAATTGATTTTTTTTTATGTTTCTGAGTTGATATTTACGAAATTATTGAAAACTATGATAATTTTTGATTTTTCCTCAAATGTGGTGAAGATTTATTTAAAAAAGAATGCGTAAAAAGTAATAAAAACAAAAATTGTAAATTTGTAGCATAAAAAGTGTTAAAAAAAATATTTTATTAAAACTGATAACTGAGAGAGACAAAAATGGCGTTGATTTTTTTTAGGTTAGAATTATGCTCAAAGTATTGTTTTTACAAGTTACCTTATAAATAATTAGGCTTCTCATGTAAATAGTAAAGTACATATGTTAGCCTTTCGACAAATTTATTGATATTTTAATTTCTGTCAGTACAATGGTATAAAAATATTGCTCGCTCTGAAAGTCGTTTATTTGTCACTAATGCCTATTTCACACTAAGCAAGTAATTTAGTCAAGTATCAAGTAATTTTGTATTTATTTTTAGTTTATTAGTTTGTAGACTCGACTAAATTTTTGTTATCCACATGTTAATACTAAGTTACTTGCTTCTCTAAATTGCTAACATAGTGCGAACTAAACCTAAGAGAGACTCTTAGTGCAGATTTAGTAAGAAAAAACTACTGTATACGACTTTGAAATGATGATTTTAACTTTTTTTTGAACTGTTTATATGGAAAATTAAGATTTTAGTTTCGAACAGGTTATGGTTATGATTATTACCTTTTGATGTAAATGTTGAGTGTATATTACTAATTCTATGTATATAAAAAAAGTGATTTAATAATACTGATGATTGATTTGTGTGTTTATTTAACCTTGAGTTTAGTAGAGTACAGATGTATATTGTTCTCGTTTATTCAACAATAAAAGGGATGCCAATATACGTAGGAAATTATCTAAGATTTCAGGTTGATAAAAAAAACAGAAAGATATGACACTTTATTTACCAAACTACACCATTAATATTGATAAGACGCATTTCATCTACATTTTTTATTCGCAAGCGTTTCAGAGGTTTGGGTATTCTGTCACTGACAAACATAAATAGACAGGCTAAAGAAATTATTGTGTTTTTAATTTTCGCAATTATGTCATTCGCGATGGCAAGGATTCTGACTAATAATAGATATAAAATTAACTTACACTTGCACAAACAAAGTTGTTTAATTTGGAACGAATCAAAATATGTCATTTACAAGCAATTGCCTATCCATTTATACATATTAGTAAGTTCAATTAGTGGAAACCTTAAAGATTGTTTTATATAGACAAAAACTTTACAATACGTTTATTAATTCTATTTGAAGCATATCATTTAACCGTATACATATTGGTTATATTTGTCTATGTACAATAAAGAAGCAGAAAGCATCATACCAACAATATTTTATTCCATAACTTGGCAAAGATCCAAATTGTAAGCTGGCAACATTGTAAAAAAAATATGTATTCCTATGAAAAATCTCACTTTCCTTACTCAAGCTCTTTACTCTTACCCTTATACAGTCTTTTCTTTCACAAACATCAATTCCATAGTTAAAGCATCTTAACACAAATTCACCAAAAAGAATTGAATATAAAAGAAAAAGGCTACAAAAGGGATTTAAAGCAAATGAAAACTATCCTGCGCGTCTATTAAGGGATTCAACAAAGACATTAAAACAAATCTTTTAATCTACTCAAAAAATCATTTTTATTATTTAGGCTCATTAAAGTTTATTTTTAAATTTCTTATTTGATACCTACCTTACTTTAGAATACATACGTGTGTATTTGCTATTAATAATTGCAAGATTTTTATTATCAAATATGACGCTGGCGCTCTCTCGTGTCGGAGGCCAAGACCCACTTTGGGGGCTGCGCCAATGCAGTAAATAATTGCAAGAGAGTGACTAACAAGAAATCGATTTTTCATCAAAATAGCTTGTATCCCTCTCTTACTAGTTAATAGTACTAATAAATATATTTATCTAATTAGGATATTAATGTAAGTTATACGAATTAACGCAATGTACTATTTGCCTAGATTTCGCTAGACAATGTACTTCTTAATAAAAGATTATTATTAATAAAATAGGATTGAAAAAAAAATTGCTGTACATAAAAAATGAAAATAAACAAAAAACAAAATGCGAAATAATATATTTTATTAACTATGAATGCAATTATTAAAAGTTTCTAATAAAATATAACTTAGAAAACTTAAACATATCATCACAACATGCTTTTTATTCTTACATACGACGTGCAATAAAATAATTATTAATAAACAACTAATAGTGAACATAATGACTTTGGTAACATAACAGTTTGACATTTGTAAAAACAAACAGTAAATTTACTATTACTTAATATAACAATTTAATTATTAATAATAACGACAGAAATTAATAATTTTATAATTATTTAACATTAATTTTTAATTGGAAGAAAACACAAAACAACCGTTTTGTTTTAGAACTGAATCTTGTAAAGTCTATTTAAATAAAAATTTTAATGCTTCAATTTATTTTTTAATTTTAAATAATTAAAAAGAAAATCAGATAAAAAGATCGACAGATAGATTAAATTTTAATTAAAAATTAAACGTCTGTACAAAATTTTCCATAGACAAGATTATTTTTAATCTATAGCATAAACAATATTTGCGCCGGAACAATTTCTATGTAAATTAACGATTTTGCGCCTTTTAATTTACAAAGCTGTAATTTTTTTTTTAATTTTATACTATTATCTTGTTTTAATTTTTTTCTTTTCTAATGACAGCTACTTTTTAATAAAATTGACTACAATTTAATGGATTATTTATATTACTAAAGCGTTAGATTTTTTTAAGGCAACAATTCAAAGCCACTATTTTTTATATACTAGAAGCAATAAACTAGGCCAACTTTTGGAAGGAATATATTATTATTTTATTTGCGTCATTTCACCAGACTTCATACATCGGACATTTTCCTATTCTTTAGCACTTTTAGACCGGATTTAAACCAAAAAAAGAAACAAAAAAAGCAGAAAAAAAAATAGGAACAATAGACAAAATATAATCCAGTTAAGCATAATTAGAAATCTGTTTCATCTATGGCATTTTTTTCTTCATTTGATTTCGTAAAGGAAATTAAACAGCTGTGAATTGTAACTAAACCCAGAGTAACACGCTTAGACTAACCCTTAGGGTTGTTTTCTCTCTCAAAGACCGATTTACGACTGTGTACCAGTTACATAAAAAAGTAGTAATTTTAACACAATACTAATTTGCAAAAAAACGCCATTTTGTACTTTGCCAGCAAATACTTCCATCTTTTCATATCTTTCATCCATAGATATACAATCTATAGACTATCAAGTTAGAAGTTCAAGATTTTTTCAAGTCATTTTTATTATAAATGACAATATTATGGTTACCATAAAGACTTGTCTTTTCGACGTTTTTTCTTTGAATTAGATATCTATAGATTACATATCTATAGATTGAACATTTATACACATCTACCCTTTGAAATGACCCAAACAACAGAATAGTCAGGCGTCTTCTTTTCCTATCATATCCAGTTTTAATTGTTCTAATTGCAATTGTCGTCTAATTGAACCTAATTGCGTTAAGATATTAATATTTTTCCCATCTTCTTTGGGTAATGTTTTTAATATATTCTTCTGAACTGCAGGAATTTTCCATTTATCGTCTACAATTTGCATTTGTTTGCTTAATTCTGTATTTTGGTTGATATCATTTGATTTTACAGGAGAATGTTTCAATACGGGAATTGGTAAAGTATCTTCTTTGCTGCGTTTCGGTTGTGTATGGATAAGGGCTTTTTCTATTATTATATTGTTGTTTTTATTATCTGTGTAATTTTCTCTAGCACTTTTATTTTCTGTGTAATTTACTTTGGCATTTTTATTATCTGTGTAGTTATCTCTGGTTTTATTTTCTGAGTAATTATCTTTAGCATTTTTAAAATCTGTGTAATTATCTCTGGAGTTTTTAGTATCTGTGTAATTATCTCTGGTTTTATTTTCTGTGTAATTTACTTTGGCATTTGTATAATCTATGTAATTATCTCTGGAGTTTTTAGTATCTGTGTAATTATCTCTGATTTTATTTTCTGTGTAATTTTCTTTAGTGTTTTCGTTGTCTTTCACAGATTTGGTTGTGTTTACATTTTCAGCTCTTAATTCTCTCACGTTACTCGAAATTAGACTTTCTCTACTTGGATTTAGATTCTTTCTTAAATAACTGTCGATATCGTAGTTTTGTGAGAATATGGAATTCTCTGGAATATTAATCGAATATGGGGGTTTATTTTGATAGTAAAACGGTAGTTTGTTTGTTTTCTCGCTGTGTGATGTTTGTGTCATGTCACGCGACACATTGGTGACAGGTTTGTGTGACGTAGATCTGAGGAGAGTTCTCTTTTCCTTCTCTATCTCACTTTGCAGTAAGGCTCTCTTCTTCTCGTATTCTGATGTATGTTCTTTCATCTGGAAATAGTTTATAATGTTTTATTTGTGGATTTTAATATTTATGTTTTTTTTTGTCTATTAAGTCTGTAGACATAGCAAGGATTTATTTAAAACTAAGCTGTTATTGCTGACATCTTACAACGATGTAGTGTGTGTTTGCTTTATTAGTATAGAAGTATAGATATAGCGAATTTTGTCGGGAGTTAATGGTCTGAGTGTTGGAAGTAAATTATATTTTTACAATTATTCAAATACGAGCTGTCATCCGTAAACTTCGTCGGCGTGTTTTTAAAAAAGTCATCTATCACATTCTCGCTTGCATCCACCTTCTATCAGATATATTTCAGTCAGTCCCGTCAAAATCGGTCCATCCGTTCCAGAGATAGCGGTGCGGTCGCCATTTTGACAGCGCGAAATTAAAAAAATGTAGCCTATAATATGCTCGTCTGTCAGCTACCTTTCAGTGAAAGTCCGGTTAAAATCGGTCCAACCGTTTCGGAGATTGCCCGGAACAAACGCGGCTTGCGAACAGACAGACAGACAAAAATTTTTTAAACGCGATTTTCGTTATCAGCAAAGTAAATACATCATCTTCCCGTAATTTGGAATATTTCTTTTGATATTACAAACACTCCTGTTTTATTATTCAGTAAGTAACATAGGTTTTTTTTTTATTTCTAACTAGCTTTCGCCCGCGCCTCCGTCCGTGTGGAATTAAAAAACAAAAGCGAGTAGTCTACGTGTTCTTCCAGACTATCCGTTTAGGCTACAAACTTTACCAAACATCAATCCATCTTAACTTTCGCATTTATAATA